TTATTGATTACTCCCCTTATCCTTGAAGTATTTGTACTTTGGATAATAAACTGATTCTGTGCTGATCTTTTTATGACTTGTAAAATTGTTTTTCTAAGGATGTTTATCCTAGGAATATCCAAAAAAACGGAAAGTATAGGAGATTAGTGTTAATTTGATAAAACTAAATTGTGTATTATTAATGTGTGATGGCGTCTGGTCTTCCAGCACCCAGCTGTGTTGGCTAGCTCTTCTCTGCCGGAGAAAAAAAGTACGAACCCTAGCAGTCTGCCATGCACAAAAGCTATCCTAATTTCTTGTGGTGGACACAGTAAAACTATAAGAAAGTGTGCTGTAATTGCGGACCTGCACGTTGGTGGCTCAGGCCATAGGGTCACTTTCCACTGACCGGAGCAGCAGCGGAATTCAGCAGCCCCCTGAGCGACTAAACAGCCATCTTTAGGACAGCACTGCTCACCTCCATGGCATGAGGAAGGGGCTAGAAAAAGTGCCCTAAACATTGCCTGCTCCACCACTAGCTAACTAGCTAACCACGACAGGTGGGTACCCTGCAATAGCGGTCAAAACACAAGAATATTCCAGAAAACTAAACTGTTGTCCCTAAAATTTGGAACCTGGAACATACACATTTGCTCAACAGAGAAGAGGCCCAGAGAGACGCATGGCTCTAATAGGGAGAGAAATGAGCAGATACAAAATCGACATAGCGGCCCTAAGTGAAACCCGGCTTGCAGGCGAAGGTGAACTAGGTGCTAGCTACACATTCTTCTGGAGTGGTAGAAAACCTGCTATGCTCCAACAATGACCAACTCCGAGGAGGTGATAAACAAATTCTATGAAGATCTGCATGAGATCATATCATATGTCTCTAAAGCAGACAAACTAATAATTCTAGATGGTTGTAATGCAAGAGATGGCACTGACACAGCCTCATGGGACGGCATTATTGGCAAATATGGAGTAGGCATCTGCAACAGCAATGGACTCCTCCTTCATGTGCTGAATACGAACTCCTAATCACAGACACAATATTTTGTCTCTCAACTCGAACAGGTCATCTGGGATGCATCCCCACTCAAAATAATGGCACCTTATTGACTGTCATAGTCAGAAGGAAGGACAGACAAGATGTTCAGGTGACCAAATCTATGTGTGGCGCTGAATGCAGAACTGACCATCCTCTCATTGCATCCAAAATGAACATCCGCATTCAACGGCCAAGGCGCCCTCAGGGAGTGAAAATGCCTAAAAAGATAAATGTCAGCCATCTTAAAATCAATAATGTAAAACAGTTCTTTGTAGATACTTTGGAGGACCATCTCCAGTTCAACCCTCTCTGCTTCCTTTTTTTAGTGCGAACGGCAAGACTCTTATCGAAGACAAAAAAGAAATCCTCAAGTGCTGGGTCAAACACTGTAACTACGAACTAAACCAGACATCATCCATAAACAATGAAGCCATTGACTGCCTGCCCCAGGTTCCTATCAATGATTCACTAACAGATCTATCTACAACAGAGGAAACCATAAAAGCTATCCATCTCCTTTCCAATGGAAAGGCGCCTAGTCCAGATGCAATTCTAGTTGAAGTCTTCAAAGTACAAGATATTTCAAAGAATATGGGAGAGTGAGACCATCTCACAAGATCTTAAGGACGCTGCAATAAATCACCTGTACAAATGTAAAGGAAACCGTCAGTCCTGTGATAATCACTGAGGTATCTCACTGCTTTCAGTTGCAGGAAAGATTCTTGCCAGGATTCTCCTGGGTCATCTCACAGCTCATCTCGACAAAGGTCTCTTTCCTGAAAGTCAGTGTGGTTTTAGATAAGATTATGGAACTGTTAATATGATTTTCGCTGCTAGACAGCTGCAACAGAAATGTCAAGAACAGTATTCGAACATGTTTCCCACCTTTTTTGATCTTACGAAAGCGTTTGACACAGTATATTGAGAGGGGCTGTGGAAGATTATTAAGAAATTTGGTTGCCCACACAAGTTCATCTAGACAGTGCGTCAGTTTCATGATGGCATGCAAGCAAGTGTGCAGGATAACGGCCAACTGTCAGAGTTCTTTCCTGTCACAAACGGAGTCAAACAGTGCTGCGTGCTTGCACCGTCACTGTTCAGTCTGTTACTTTCAGCCATGCTGACTGATGCCTTTGTAAATGATCACACTGGAATTGACATAAATTACCGCATAGATGGAAAGCTGTTCAACCTTAGGTGGCTGAAAGCACACACACACAAAAACTTAAACAGACACCAACAACAATATCATAGCATAACACTGCAGACAAAGCTTAAAGTATACAAAGCAGTTGTATTAACTACACTGCTGTTTGCATGTCAAACATGGACTGTATACCAGGGCCAGGCTAGCAAGCCAAACCACTTTCGCAGTCTGCCTTAGAAAACTAATGCAGATCAGATGGCAAGACAAAGTACCTGATACCGTAGTCCTTGAGAAAGCAGCCATGCCCAGCATCCACACTCTACTGATGCAGTATCAAATTCACTGGGCTGGTCATGTGGCACGCATGCAAGATCACAGGCTCCCAAAAAAAATTATATGGTAAGCTGCAAAATGGGAAACGTTCCCAAGGCAGGCAAAAGAAACACTTTAAGGACACCTTGAAGTCTTCACTCAAAGCATTTGTCCTCAATGTCCAAAGCATTTGTCCTCAATGTCCAAAGCATTTGTCCTCAATGTCCAAGAACTTTTCGGGCCGGCATCAGCCTCATCAGTCATCTCTGTACTCATACTTGATGAAAAAAAAGTGGTCATTATTATCTTGATGGACAACACACACACATTTAGAAGAGAATGTAACTTTTTGCTAACTACAGATGGTCATTTGAAATAGGCTATCTTTCACCAGGACTGATGCTTGCCCAAGATACAACCAGTATTGTAGCAGGTAGTGCTGCCAATAATCCATATGTTTAAAATGTGTCAGTATTCTCTCAACAATCCAAAAGTACATCACTGATTAGGAAAACTATCTGAATGTTACATTTCTTTTGTTTTCATTAATGATTATGTTCTATGCACTATGCTGACATCCTCATTACATAATCTGAAGGATACCAGGGGTCTACTGGATGGTGTCAAAATTGTGATAAAGATAGTATGCGAATCTTCTTGAAATTCTTTTTTTTAAAAATCAAATCACCCCAAACAGATTGGTTACTGGGATAATGCAGGATAGAAGGACGAAGTAATAAATTTACATGTAGTTATCTGATATAATGCAAGTCAAGAAATGTTTGCTAGAACTTAGTTACAGTGGCTGTTTAACATCTGATGGGCTGATACAAGTTTACAGGCACAGTTTTTGTGTGATTCACACCCAGATCTATAGAAATCAGATATTATAACTGCTGGACCAACTGGCCCTTTACATAAAATTTATGTAATTGCAAAACCACTTCAAGTCAAACAATGAAAGCTATCAAATTCAAAGGAACCTCGGTCTCACAGGGATCATTGCAAGATTGTTTATTAATGTCAACAAATGCAAAAAAGTAATGCAACACTGGAAAATATGAACAATTAAAAAACTGTTAGTTGCATATCTTTTACCTGGGGTTGCCTGACTGAAGCATTTGTTTGCTGCTTGTAGTGTTAACAGATCGTGTTAAGTTCAGTCGTTTGCTACCAACTCAATAACTGAAGCTTATTGTGAAAATCTAAACAAAGTGATTTCCTGCCAAATTGTTTACAGCTGAATCGAACCTGATGTGCCGGAATTTTGAACATGTGCTTATAATTCCTTCATTACATAAAGCGAACAGAAATCTGTACAACAGAACATTCTGAGAACATGTCAAACAGTTTGTAATAAGAGAAAAAAGTTGTATAAAAGGGTTTCTAATGCTAAAAACAAACAGCCTGGTAATAGTTTCAAGTATTTATCAAAATGTCACCAGGGCAGGGCTATTCAACTAAGTTTACTCAGGGACCAGAAGGCTGAGACCCCATCATAGCAAGCTCAATAATACAGTACTACTGACAGTTATTTAGATTCCACTTGCTATTTCTATGGGCCGTGGGCCACCAGTTGAATAGCCCTGCTTTAGGGAATGAAGAAATCCTACAATAAAACAAGGAAGACAAACTAGACAAACTTGCATGTACACAGGGAATAATGGCATTTGCCCTGTAACAATAATATCTCTGAACAGTCACTTCAGGCCTTCAACAACAACAGTTTTAATGTTTGTACACCATGCATAGATTGCAGAGCTTCTATTAGTTGCTTTTCTTATAAAGGATCTTGATATATCCTTCATAGATCTCACATTGCTATATTTTCCTGAGCCATTATTGACATTCTGCCAAGTATTTAGTGATAACATTATAAAACATCTTGAACATGTTTTAGGTGGCAAGGGATAACCACAATCATACTTAAAAAAATTTCAAATAGTAACAACATAATGAAATGCTGAGAATGTCTCAAATAATCAATAACAAACTATTTTTCAATTTAAAAAATCTACATGTAAATATTTGCAAAAGAACAAACAAGCTGATATCAAAATTTTGACTAAATCACATCTTGAAAAATGCCTTGTCTGTATCATTATAGCTTGTCTAGGGTACACTGTCTGTTCTAATATGAAGACTTTGCTGTGTGCTCTCATCTCTGTCTACTAGTTCAGATAGCCTGATTCAGCTGCCTACTGTGGCTTCACCTTCCTATCGTGAGTTAGCACAGGGTCTATTGTGCTTTCTCTATGTGGCTTTCATTTATTCTCAGCCTTTTTATAATGATGGACTGACTGTTGTAACAAATAGAGTATATTCTTTTGAGCTCATATATTACCGATTTTTACAAGATTTGTTGAAAAATCAATTTCGATAATTAGTGTTTTTTTTTTTTTAAGGAACATGCCAATGTATTTTTAGCCACACTGAAAAAGAACAACATAATAAAAACTAACAGAATATCTAAGTCTGAAATAAATTTTTTTAAAGAATATCCATAATCTGCTATCAGGACATAACTGGAATCTGCCACAACCGCAAAGAAAAATCTGGTAAATCAGTTTGCTGCTGCATGTTCTCATCTTCGGCTGAATCACTGCTATCATAGTCAAAGTTCTGAAAGTGTCGTTGACCAGATGCTGTAGCCAGCAGGTTCTTGTGGTGGTTAAAGCTGAAACATACAAGTATTTCATTCATGTTTCAATACAGTGGAGATATGGTCTTTGTTCAGGGGTTTAGCAAGATCTGTGTGGTCTAGGAAAACTTAACTTATACATGGCCAGCCAGAGTGATATTATCTGGTCTCCAAGCAGTGACAACCTGGTTTTCACCAGCACAGACCTGAGCTCACAGTCTTTAACAATTAGTACAAGTGATTTATCTCAGACAGTAATGGCAAGCAGTGCAGTACTGGCCATATATTAGCATAAATTCCATGTGGTCACTGAAATTAGGACATCCCCTGGACTGATATATTTCACAAAGTACTGGTAATTAAATCCTGTAAGCTCGGAAAAGAGCTTGTATCTATTTTTTTTTTTTTTTAATCTGGTGAAGACACCCCCCCCCCCCTTCCTCTCCCCACCAGATACCAAAATGCCATCCCAAGTTCTTATCTCCCTCATGAAGCCAGCTAGGTGTGAAAGACTGATACTGGAACTTCAGCATAGAAGAGAAGACTGGCTGGGATTAGGCTTGGTCGGTAATGTTCCCTCCATGTGTTTTAGGTATTTCACTGTCAACAGACTCCAACCCAATGCTAAAGAGCATTATTATTAATCATATAAATACAGACACTCAGTTTGCTGGATCATCTACACAACACAACAACTCTCATAGTCTAGTGATGATTGAGTAAGTAGTATTGTGTGCAGGCAAACTGTCAGTCCCTAGGGGACCATGTGGTTGTGCAGCTGGTTTTGGAAACTGTAAAGTCCAAAGTCTCTACCACATAGTGTGCATACAAATATTGATACTTTATCACACAGAGGCAAGTTCACTCAGATGTCTCTTCTGAGTTTGGAAAACATTACGAAAGCCTTCCCTATTTGTGTGTTTAGTTCTGCATTTGGGAAAGATTGTGATGACTGGCTAGTATACAAACTTTCATTCAGTATATCTAGTGATGACTGGGTAGTATACAAACTTTCATTCAGTATATCTAGTGTTGACTGGGTAGTATACAAACTTTCATACAGTGTATCTAGTGAAGACTGGGTAGTTTACAAACTTGCATACAGTATATCTAGTGATGACTGGGTGGTATACAAATTTTCATACATTATATCTAGCGATGACTGGGTAGTATACACATTTCCATACAGTATATGTAGTGATGACTAGGTAGTATACTAACTTGCATACAGTATATCTAGCGATGACTGGGTAGTATACAAACTTTCACTCAGTATATCTAGTGATGACTGGGTAGGTTGCAAACTTACATACAGTATATCTAGTGATGACTGGGCAGTATACAAAGTTGCATACAGTATATCTAGTGATGACCGGGTAGTATACCACCTCTCAAACAGTATATCTAGTGATGACAGACAGCATACCACCTCTCAAACAGTATATCTAGTGATGACTGGATAGCATGCCACCTCTCAAAACAGTATATCTAGTGATGACAGACAGCATACCACCTCTCAACAGTATATCTAGTGATGACCGGGTAGTATACCACCTCTCAAACAGTATATCTAGTGATGACAGACAGCATACCACCTCTCAAACAGTATATCTAGTGATGACTGGGAAGCCTGAAAACTTTCATATACCGTAAGTTGTGATGAAAGCACTGCTGATATACACATACACACACACAAACAAACTAATTGTGAACTTGAAAAACATAGCTTTCCTACCTGACTCCATTCACACAGTCACCATGTGCCTGAAACTGTGAGCAAGGTTTCAGAAATGGATCTCCATTAATCTCCTCAATAGGGCTGAGGGTATCCCAAAATGCAACAGTGCCATCATTGTTTCCAGACACCAGGTAACGACCTGATCTGTTAATGATAGAAAGAAAGAAAATCTTTGCTTTTAAAATCAAAAAGTTGCACGATTTGTAAATATTTCACTTTTATGCAATCTCCGTGAAGTGTCTAGCCTAGTGGTTATGACACTAAGCTTCAATTCAGGAGACTCAAGTTAACATCTACAGTAAGGCAGTGCAATTTTTTGTTAAGGGTAAACATTTTTTTTTAATGTAACCAACCAAAAATAAGGGCAGTAAAAGATAGTTGTTATTTTTTTTTAAACATAGTCTATTGAGTTTTCAAATTCCAAAACACAAACATTTAAGCATAAAATTTAGAAGCTATAAAAATTTCAGTCAAGAGACATTTTTACTAGATTTGCTAAGTTCACCTCTTGACCATGTTTATCAACTGCCTGATCCGGATGATGCTCTGGAATATTGGCCAAAGACTTTCCTTGGGGTGTTTGATAAACATGTGCCAGTTAAGGAGGTTCGTGTGAAACATCAGACTAAATCACCATGGATCACACAGGAAGTAGTCGACATTATGAAAGAACGAGATAGGGCACACAAAGATAAGAACTTTGTCACATATCGGAGTTTGCGTAACAAAGTACAGTATGTTATTCGAAAGGAAAAAAAGAACTATTTCAGAAACCTAGTATCAGATAAAAGAAACAGTAAAGATATATGGAAGGCAATTAACACACTGACAAACAAAAACACTTCAACACGTGTGGTAACATCTAATATAACATCTGATGATTTCAGCAATTACTTTCAGGATGACATAGAGCAGATAAAGGCTACAATACCGAGCTATCCATGTGATTTATCCATGTTGTCAACATTTTGTGAGAATAAATGCTCCAGAGATTTTCCCACTGACATGCCTTTGATGTCAGTCAATGACGTTTTTAAATATCTCGCTAATCCCAAAAACAGTAATGCATCAGGTCTAGATGGTGTAAGCAATAGAATCCTTCGTTGTACTCTATCAGTTATCTGCACGTCATTAACCTACATTTACAACCAGTGCATCGCCAAGGGTTACTTTCCTCCAGCCTTTAAAATTGCCAAAGTCTATCCTCATCTAAAATCTAGATCATTAGACAGTAGTATTCTCAGTAGCTATAGACCTATCTCTCTACTACCATCCCTATCAAAACCACTAGAAAAACACATTCACGAAATAATACTCCAACATTTAGATCACAACGAACTTATTGTTGACAACCAGTCAGGGTTTCGACCAAAATATTCTTGTCATACTGCCTTAACGAATATGATAGAAAACTGGCATCAGAATATTAACGAAGATAAGATATGTGGTGCAGTGTTTATAGACTTCAAAAAGGCCTTTGACATGATAGACCACACTATTCTTATCCGAAAGCTGGTAACAATGAAAGTGAGTTCCAACCTATTAACAATGCTAACATCTTTTTTATTAAACAGAAAACAAGTTGTTTCACATAATAAATCTATATCACAGACTACTACTTTAAATTCTGGAGTTCCCCAGGGTTCTATTCTTGGCCCCCTTCTATTTGCAATTTACATAAATGATCTGCCCTTAAGTCTGTCTTCGTCGTGCGATTTATTCGCTGATGACTGTACAAGCCATTCAAATGCTCGAACTTGTAATATACTAGAGTTGTCTTTGCAACAAGAATTAAACAATGTAGTTAGTTGGAGCTAGGCAAACTGCATGCAAATCAATATAAGTAAGACAAAATCTATGTTAATAACAACAAGACAAAAACTGTGCACTTTAAACTCTCACAGAACCCTTCAACTCTACCTAGGTAACACACCAGTAGAAAGTGTAACTGAGCACAAAACTTTAGGCCTGATCATCAATGGAAATCTTAGCTTCAACTCCCATGTGCAAACACTTGTTAAGCAAACTGCTACAAAGGTATACCAACTAGCAAAAATTAAAAACTTTCTGGATGAAAACTCTAGAAAATTATTCTATACTTCTCATATTCAGACCCACATAGAATTTTGCTCCACAATATGGGATGGGTGTGCAAATTCAGTCATCAAACGGCTGAAAGCACTACACAGAAGGGCTGTTCGTTTAATAGCTAATAGTCATGAAAGTGACTGTTCGCACCTATATAAAGAACTCATGCTATTACCGCTCCAGGAACGCCTACTATTCAATAAAGCTAAACTTATTAAGAAAATCATATCTAAAAATGCTCCATGTTACCTTTGGCCATTATTTAAATACAATGGAAGACATAGCAAACGCCTTAACATATTGCATATCTCTAAACCTAGAATAGACCTATATAAAACAAGCTTAGCGTACTCTGCAGCTCAGCTGTGGAATAATCTTCCACCGGAAATAAAAAATATCAATAACCCCTTTAGATACAATCGGAAACTATTTGAATATTATCTCACTACAGACTATATGCCCCCCTAAAAAGATTATAGTATGTTAAGGCTTTCATGTATTTCTTATTAACGTTTTTTTTTTTGGGGGGGGGGGGGGGGGGGGGGGGGTCAGGGAGAGGGGGGGGGGGTCAGGGAACTTGGTGGGGGTTGAAAACTGAAGCTTATTATTGTTTAAAGCTGAAGATGTCAGTCGAATGCATTCCAATATTTGTAACTAATATTTAATTGGTTTTGATGATGTTTATATTATGCAGCCTGTTCTTCTTCTTCTTCTTGTTCACCGGCTGTGAATTCCGGCGGTAAGTCACGGTTGTTCGTCCAAAATGGACTTTTGGCTTTTACCTTGACCTGAGTTTTGCGTGTACATCCGTTTTACTGGCTTATTTGTTTGCAGTACTCGTTCCCCGCCTCTCCGGCAGATGTACTCCGACTTCGGAGGAAGACGTCAAGCCTATTTCTAGGTTGACTGTGGCCATTGTTTTGTGTGGGTCGAGATGTTGCCTCATTTGTGTGGTGTCCTCTTTGACCTTCAACAGGTGTGGCCCCCGATATGTCGTCCTTAAGGCAGCTCTATGTAGAGTTTTCAGCCCTCAAGGGAAGGCAGGGGCAGATCATGGGCATTCCCCGCCATCCAAGGAGGCTTCCATAAATGCAGAGCCGACACATGATGCTCTGGTTCTGGGCTCACCCAAGGAATCGTCACGTCCTGCCCATGACTGCTGAACCTCACAACCGTGTATTGAGCTTCCCGCGCTACAAGGCTGCGCTCTCCGGAGATCAGCGGGGAGCAGCCCGCAGGTCTAGGACGTTTGTGGCCACACAAATAGGTACATTCTTTTTCATCTTACGTTAGACACCTTTAACGTTGTTTCAGCTGTGCCCTTAGCACGACAGAATGGGGAAGCAAAATGCGTCAGGCGTAGCTTCACCTGTTTGGTCCCAACACTCGGGCGAGTTGGACCAGTGGATACGGACATTCAGACTTTTCCTAATCGGTACGAGTTATGATCGTCGGACTTTGAGCTTGCATGTGTGCCGTGGGGTGTAACTTTGTCGGACATTGTTTTCAAGCCAGCATATGAATAGTTGCTGCCATGGTGTACCTCAGCGCGGTGACGACGACACTGAGGATTGACAGAGGATGTACGTAGGTGGGATCTTGCTGCGAGAAGTCGCCCACAAGAGATGTTACTCGTCTTGGCTGCGGGTAAATCTCTCGGTCAGGGTTGAGTCTCAGCAGCACAGTTTTCCATTCGCTCCCGAATTTTAACCAAGAGTTGTCATTTGATGGTACATTTAGCAAGCAGTCCTTGAGTTTTGTTACTTTTCACCCATGCGTTTGGGGGCGGGCTGGTGAGAGCCAGAAAGGACTCTACACCTCTAGGGGCCGCCAGCTCCGAGATCCCCTTCCAACTCTGTTAATGCTCATTTGAGACATTATCCGTGGCGCACGACGGGGACGTGCAACAGGAGTCTTGCATGAGGTTCCGTAAAACCAGAACAGTGAAGGACTGGCGCCCGAGTGGGGTACGGAATATCTCCTTATACACATCACATCAGACTTAACTTCCCCTCATGCCTGTGACCGAAATCACCGCGCCACATGCAGCCTGTAAGACTTACATTATTTTTGGAACAGGCTTATTATTATACTCTTTAAAACGTTCAAGTAATGTCAGTATAAATTAGAGCACATTCCAACATTTGTAATTAATACTTAGATATTGTAATTTTTTTTCTTCTCTTTTTTGTTCTTTTGTTTCTTTTCTATATTTCTTAAATTTTTAATTGTGCATTCCTCTTTTTATTATTATTATTATTTTTATTATTATTATTATTATTAACTATGAAATGAAGTAAAAATGAAGCATTGTATGAAAGGAGCGGAGTGGAAGGGCAGAATGTTAGACGGGCCTGCGTGCCCAATTCTTAACCCTTTGAAAATAAAGTTTGTTTGTTCGTTCGTTCGTTCATAACCTTTTGAGAATCATGGATTGAGTCTGAAAAATGGCCCTGAAAGCAATCTGACCATGTCACTTCACTGTCTCGGTTTTCAGCGATTCTCTTTTCAGCATAAGCCTGATTTCAATGCCCTTGCATGCAGGTGAGGTATGATATAATTTCTGGGATATCCTTAGAAAGGTAACAGCTAGGGTGACCATAATATCTTAAGCTAAAAATGGGACATCCCAATATTTTTAGCTTGAAAACAGGATCTCCCAGGTAATTCATCTTATATCCCCCCCCCCCCCCCCCCCCCCCCACCTCGAAATTACCATAAGTATTTTGACCCTATGTTTGACATGTCTGACCTACACAGTGTAGGCTCTGCCCGCTCCTCATCCATCCTTCATGTTGAAACCAACAAGGCAGACTTCATTACTGAGACACTCAAACATGATTTCTCATGTGTCCACTCACTGTTCATAATGGAAAGAACGTGTTCCACATGTACCATCTTATCAATCAGCAAGTTCTTCTACAGAACATCACTCTCATCACAGCTCGCCCAAAAGTTTCTGTCTCTCTCTAGCCAATTCTCCAGCCTGATGTGCCTTTAAAACCAATGCGTCCTCAGTGAATTGTATCCTCCTTCATAGAGTTCTGCCACTGCTAACTTTTCCAGAAACTGTACCCTCACCGTTCTCTTTTCATGTCCAGATAACATTAAACATGGCCAAAATATCTTCATTTAGGAACAGGATGCTGTTTATGAGCCAGTTCTCTTTGGTGCTCACATCATTTAGTAGGGCAGTATTCTTCCTCTTCTTGGTCCATGATATTCTAAGAATTGTTCTAGTTTAAACTAATTTTGTTTTTCCATTTATTGTTGAGTAACAGCCCATGACTCACATCCATAAGTTGGCAGGGGAAAATGCATGATCCCAGTTTTGATTTTACCTTAACTTGCTTGCATATGTATCACGCAAGCATAATACTATTTCCACAGCTTTGAAAGGGATCTCGTACTTAATATGTTCCTCTTCTAACCTATCAAACATTTGCATCCAAGCCCATCTGTTAAAAAAATAACACAGATTCAAACTCAGTCGACAGTCGCATCAAAACCTGAACAATGGTCATCAAGAAAAAAAGGGAACAATATTCAATTTAACTGCACTGAAAAACATCGACAATGAATATTCCTATCAACATATTTTAAGCATTAAAAGTATCTATGTTTATGAATATAGTATGTAGTTTATGTATTATTCTCATGCTTTATTCCTAGATTGCTATAAAATGGGACAACTGGCCTTGTCTTTAATCGAGTACCAATGGAACGGCAGGGACAAATCTAAAATACGAGACAGCCATGGTGTAAATGTGATATACGGTAACTCTAGGAACAGCAGATACAAACAGCAGGACTTGGTAACGCATGTGGGAAAACCTGCATCTTCAGAAGCTACAGCAGTTTGCTGCGTTGGTCATGCAAAGATGTCACAATTTAGTAATTATCCACTGCAACAGCACGAATGATGGGTTGGAGTGAGCACATACGACACTCATCATCTGTTAAGAAAACTGAGCTTTTACAAATAAACCAGGAGTGTTGGGCAGTCTTTTCTACAAAAACTATAATAAATTACCCCAAGGACTCATTACAGCATAACTTGTATATGATGGTAACACAAGCCTGTATGCCATCCATTTGCCCTCTTTCTATGTTATAGTTATTTGCCCCTTTTACAGTTATGTTGATGAGTGATTCTTTGCATGCTATAGGATCTGTCCTACATGGCTATAGTTAGCAGCTGGAAAACAAAGCTTCACTTTACTTAGCAACCAAGAAAAAGCACTTAGGAATGACCAAGAAAAAGCACTTAGGAAGGACAACAATAACCTCATAACATCATGCCATGAATAAGTGAAATTCTTGATGTTTAATGACTTTTTCCATAGAATTTATATTACTTCGACAGTTGCTACCAGTTCCAACAAACTAACTCAGACAAGTCAGAATGCATTACCCTATAATGACAACTTCTACAATGGCTTCCAACTCCAACAAACTTACTGAGACAGGTCAAAATACATTCGCTGGTTTGTCTTCACATCTCTAAGGGCAGAGAACAAAAGCTTGTCCATGTTCCGCATGTCCCAACATAAGATTTCTGCATCCTGAATAATTAAAACGCATTCATTAACTTCAGAGTTTTCAAAATACAAACTTCCAAGTTTTCAATATACAAAAAAATTAACTTTCCATCAAGTTATTATGCTTCTGAGCATTTACATGGAAGCACAGCAATAGACTCAGTACAATTATAGGGACTCCCTATGTGGAGTTCCAGAGTCCCCTTTGTGGTTTGAGGTGGGGTATGAACAGACAAACCAAATTGCCCCTTAAAAATTATGTTGAGAAAAGTAACTAATTAAAGGTTTACCCAAATCAGACGTATTAGGCCAAAAGGCAAAGCATACTGCTGAACAGCTGTAAACCAGAACAAAAACAGAAGGGGAATACAACTGTGGCAGCTCTAGTTTCCTTGCCACCCCCCCCCCCCCCCCCCCTCTTTTTTCCCACATATATATAAAGGAATAGGGAACACTTTCATTTAGCTTAATATTTGTAAAAATTTGTTAAGGTTCATGTCAAAGTTATGATGTGAGACAAATTATATTCTGGTCATCATCATCATGTGCCCTGCCAACTGGCGTAGGCGCTCATGCATCTCCACAGATCACGATCCCTGGTTGACTGAAACAGCTCCCTTAATGATATCCCTCCATGTCATCATTTTAGCCCATCTAGCATCGCCTCTCTTGGTCTGCCTCTACCCTTCTTCCACTGATCTTTCCAGTTGTCACCATGTTCTCCAATGTCACTCTTCTCATTATATGGCCAAAGAACAGTGTTTGTCTCTTTCTTATTGTTGTCTATAGGGATCTACTTTCATTTGCCTCTTTCAAGCAATCGTTGTTAGTTACTCTGGCCATCCAAGGTATTCATAATATTCATCTCAGAAACCACATCTCTGTTGCTTCCAAATTCTTCCTAATTTGTTCACTGACATTCTAAGATTCACTGCCATACAGCAGAACAGGTTCAATGTAATATTTTAGCACCCTCTTTCTGACATTAAATGAGGGTGATTAATTGCATAAGATATTTTTCATTTTCTGAAATGCAGTTTTCACTTGACCTATTCTGCTTTTAATCTCTGTCACACATTTTCCATCTGATGATATGATTGTTCCCAGATATTAAAATTTATTGACTTATATTCTGGTACTACATGCAAATGAAGGGTGATGTGGTAAATATCCTTTCAGCTACCTTTATTCTCTTAAAGAAATCATCAATAATCATTTCCTAAAGCTGTGCTCACCCTACACATCCCAACAATAGTGGGGACAGGATTTAGATTGTACCAGTCAATGAGTACTCTACTAAAGCTTCACTGTTTCAGAACAGGCATCAGCAGTAACAGCATGAGAAACAAATGCATATGTATTGATCCACACTCATAGAAGTAGAGAAAGTTAACATTAGTACAAATATTTGAAAATATGACTACACTGGATTCGGTGTAACATGATAATCATGTATCAAAACAAAACCCATAATAATCAAAATATAGAGCAAGCAGAGTGTGCTTCTGTGTATCAAACTGTGAAGGTGTTTCTAGTCTATGCATTCATACACGTGTATGGGAGGTATAATCATATAACGAAAATGTATTTACTACAATAAATCCATAGTACTAGGATGTACAGAGGATGTTGCCCTAAGGGATGGTATCATACTGATCAAGACCTTTATATACACCATGAAAACAAACAAACAAACGCATGCATGCACATATCCTTAAAAAAGTCTAGAAAGAGACATTTATCTGGCTAATGAAATGAGACCGAACATGAGCTCCATAGTAAGGCATAGATGTAGGGTACAGAACACATAGCTACATGAATACCTTCCTGCCACCACTGTACAACTTGGTTGCATCAGGAGAGAACATCAAATGGGTGACTCCACCATGCTGCCCTTGCATCAAACACACCAGCTTGTCACATGCAGAGTCATACAGGCCAACTGGACAGAGGGGATAAAGTTGTTACAGTGGTAACCAGTTTAAAAAAACTTTTCACTTGTATCCATCACATGTCTGTCATGACTGCCTCTCACTATTATAAATAATATGAACATAATATATGCATACACATATTTCTGTCAGCTCTTGGTCAGAATTGACTGAATTACTGTATAATAGAAGTTGGTACGGTATTAATTATTCTCTCTTAACATCAAACAGTTGGAAATGTATACTAATTTTGTCATTTCACACTGTGCCAATGGCTATACGAAAGCATTCAAGAGGTTACCAGACTTATCCTAGAACGAAGAAAATGCACCTGAAAACAATGTTATGGCAGGGCAGACCAGCACCTTAGCATTCAATGAAATCTTAAATTGCAGGCAGACAGCAGTTCTGACCAGGTGTCACATGCGGATGTGCACTAGAACGCACCGTTACTGAGTGAGCAAATAGGACATCAAAACAATACGTCAGGTAGTGAGGGAATTGTTGTCAAAGGCATTCGATGTTTACAGTCTGAAGTAGACAGTCGTGTGGATCCTTGAGGATGCTTTACCCCGGGATGCCACTGAAGGAATGGTAATCAAAGTTGGATCCTTGAGGACACTCTACCCCGGGACTCCACACGTCACAATAAGAGCCAAGCCGGGATCATTGTGACGTGCAGCAGTTTCATGATGATGTGTGTCATACAAACGATGAAATAGGCCAAGTGTGGAAAAACAGTAGAAACTTAAATGCTTTCCAACGTTAAAACAATGAACGCTCTACAATAGGTTATATGGGTGTATTGAGATACCAATGATCAACGAATGAAAACATGTGCAATTAATAAAGGATCATTCAACACACCAACACGGAGAAATCGCTTGACATTGTCCGGATTCATAACAAATGACGGGTCGCAGTACGACCTTAAAATCCGGACAATCACAACGATTTCAGTCCGACCTTGGAATCCGGACAATCTCAATGATCTCAGTCCGACCTTGGAATCTGGACAATCTTAACAATCTCAGTCCGACGTTGGAATCCGGACAATCTCAACGATCTCAGTCCCACCTTGGAATTTGGACAATCTCAACAATCTCAGTCCGACCTTGGAATCTGGAAATCTCAGTCCGATCTTGGAATCCGGACAATCACGACGATCTTCTCTTCTGCAGCCTGAACAAGGTAATATAAGTATACCGGCTTACTGCCGAACGGAGCAGACACTATACCGGCTTTCAGCTGAGTTTATAGTGGAGTCCCGGGTTAGAGCGTCCTCAAGGATCCATCTTTGATTACCATTCCTTTAGTGGCATCCCGGAGTAAAGCATCCTCAAGGATCCACACGTCTGTCTACTTCAGACTGTAAACATCGAATGCCTTTGACAACAATTCCCTCACTACCTGACGTATTGTTTTGACGTCCTATTTGCTCACTCAGTAACGGTGCGTTCTAGTGCACATCCGCATGCGACACCAGGCAGCTTCTGTATCACGCTGTCTTTCAAAGGTATTAGTTTAATACCTTTCCTTTGTAATTAACAATGCTGACTAAAAGAAATGGATTATGCTTTAAGAATAACAAATGGTCTCTACATTACTGCCCAAGCTTTGTGCAATGCAGGAGGAACTTCACCCCTGGCCTTAACTGATCTCCGAATTAAAGTGAGAAGAAGCAGGTATGTGTTTTAAGTCATTGTCAGTTGATAATCTGAGAATAAATGTAAAATGTGACGGCAACAATGATTCTGATATATCAAGCATTTATTGCAGAAGATTCTTCTTAAGGCAAGCAGGTCTTGATAGTCATACTCATCATTGCCACTGACTGTTTCCCATCCTCCATGCACAACAGAACATTATCGTCTGAAAAGACGAAAAGTTGCCAACTACAAACATACATACCCACCAATGCAACTTAACCACCATCAACACAGCACACCTTAACAGTACTTACTTACCTATCCACCTGTCTGTCTGTCTGTCTATCTATCTATCTATCAATCAATCATTGTTATTTAGCCACAATAACAGTTGCTCACAGAAGTATTATAGTTAATCACAGAGGTATTACATTTAATTACAGAGATATTACAGTAAAATACAAAGGTATCAAAGTTGATCACATAAATATTTCAGTAAATCACAGTAATATTATAGTTAATTACAGATGAATAATAGTAAATCACAGAGTTATTACAGTTTATTACAAAGGAATTACAGTTAATCACAGTGGTGTTACAGTTGATTTTCTTCTTCTTTTTTCGTTCGCTTGAAACAGATTACCTATGTCTGCAATTTGGTCACCAGTATGAATAGTTAATCACAGTGGTATTAACAGAGGTATAAAAGGACATCACAAAGGTATTACACTTAATCACAGAAGTATTACAGTTAATCACATTGGTATTATAGTTAATGACAGAGGTATTATAGTTAATTACAGAGAAACTAAAGTAAATCACATAGGTATTACAGTTAATCACAGTAATTTTACATTTAATTTAAGGTAATGCAGTACATGACAGAGGTATTACAATTATTAATCACTGTGTTTTTCAGTTTATCACAGAGGCATTACAGTTAATCACAGGGATATTACAGTCAATCAGTAGTATAATAGTTAATTACAGGGGTATTACAGTTAATCACAGAAGTATTACAGTTAATCACAGGGGTATTACAGTTAATCACTGGAGTATTACAGTAAAGCACTGGGGTATTACAGTAAATCACTGGGGTATTACAGTTAATTACAGAGGTATTACAGTTAATTACAGAGGTATTACAGTTAATTACAGAGGTATTACAGTTAATTACACAAGTATTACCGTTAATCACGGATCATTACAGTTAATCACTGGGGTATTACAGTTAATCACGGAGGTATTACAGTTAATCACGGAGGTATTACAGTTAATCACAGTGGTCTTAGTTTATCACAGAGGTAATACAGTTAATCACTGGGGTATTACAGTTAATTACAGAGGTATAACAGTTAATCATGGAGGTTATTACGGTTAATCTCAGAGGTATTACGTTTAATTACGGAGGTATTAAAGTTAATAAAAAGGCTACTACAGGTAATCACAGTGGTATTACAGTATATAACAGAGGTATTACAGGTAATCATAGGTATGCAGTAATCACATAGGTGTTGAAGTTAATCACAAAAGCAACAACAACAAAACCTACAGGAATACAAATCCGTGTAACATTCAGAGGTTTTACAACAACTATAAAAGAGTATAACTGAAGATGGGCACAAGACAAACTCACTGTGTCGACTGTAAGATCCTGCCACATACAAGCCATTTCCATCTGGGCTAAAGGCAAAACTTGAAATAATTCCTGTCTGGCCATCCTTTCTCTGAGAATCTGGATGGAACAAACAATAAAGGTATAAAGAAACTGTTAACAATAAAATTATGAGAGCAGATGGCACTCAACTCTCAATGCTGACTTCCACCTGACATATTGCTGAAATGTAAGACTTCCAAGGTTAAAGCATTGTATCCATTTGGTAGTCGGCATAAAGGGTCTGCAATATCATTTAAAAAACAACCTTTAACTTTATATGCACTTCTTTTTGTCTTATTTATATAACCTACACATTTTTCTGTGTTGCTATTACTGTAAAAGCAATTTAGTATTTTGGTGATAGATTATGGACTGGGACTGCTCACTGTATCGAAAAGTCAGCTGGTGAAGTTTGAATGCATACAGAATGAAGCCATGTGGGTGATTCTAGGATGTACAAAAGACACCCCAGTAGTCAGTATGCCATACACCCTTGCACTGCTGACTACTGCAGTCAGGCTCAGAGCGCTGCAAGCCAGGTCATACCTCAGGGTAGCTGCTGACATAAACTAACTTCTTTCCAAAGCCCTGGATACAGCTGAAAGTCACAGGTTGATTAGAGGGAAGTCTTAGAGGCACAACAGAAGACACAATTAAAGATGTGTGTATGCTGGAAAAATTGAAAGATGAGAGGAGTGGCCTGAATTTTGGCCAGCAGGCACAGCAGAATCAGAAATACAACAGCTGATTCATGATAGTGTTCCCTCAAGCGATGGGACTTTCTGTAGAGATGGCTCTGTGTTGAGAGGCAGAAGAAGTTGCATGGGGGTTTACTGTGAGAGCAAATAAGTGTAACAAAGTCTAGCGTATGATACTACTAAATCTAGCTTGAGAATGGAGGTGATGGCAGTCACAGCAGCTTTTTGCTGGCTTGAGAACTAGCCGCACACACGTCATGACTGTAACCTCACAAAGCATGCTAAGAAAGATGGAGAAAGACATGCTCCGTGCAGAGTGGCAAGCTGGTTCTGCACCAATGGGCAATACACGTATGCATAACAAGCTAGATGTAGTCAAGATCTTTTGGCAGAAAGTGAACAATGTTGAGGCATGAACAGATCATTATGGTCTGGACAGAATGGTACAGCCAGGAGTGACCAGGGTATCTGGTGGAAACTTCACACTCAGAGGAAAGGCAAAAAGGCAAGATGGACATATGATGAAATGGCTAGTCATCATCCAAACTAGAAATCTTTACTGGCTGCTGAAGATTAGGATGGACTGCTCACTGGAATGATCAGAGTGCTATGATGTCAATTCTCAAGTCAACAGTATAAGCAAAGTAAAAGATCCCTTTTCACACCTTGAGGCGTACAGGGCATGTAGGGCTAGACCAATATTTTACAGACCAGACCAATCAACACTTGGTGGGTGATGGGTCAGCATCACACCAGTGGCCTTTACTTCCAAGGACTTTTACCTGGTACCCATTTAGGACTAGGTTGACCTGGGAGCCATGGCCATTTTTGTCTGGATTTGAACCCACAACCTTCAGATCCATGAGCAGCTTCCTCAACACTTAGTGTGACTATTAATAAGTATAAGGTCTGTGGCAGAACTTCAAAACTAAGAAGGGTCCACAGGTCTTAACTAACTAGGAACCACTGGGCCAGAGAATTCCAGCTTGTGCTAATTACCTTACATATAAGTAGGAGATTCATAGAATTCCAGCTTTTGCACACTGATCTGCATGTAAGTTAGGGAATTTACAGATTAACTCGTTTACATGTTGCCATACACGTACTAGAAAATCACAGAATCCCACCTCTTGCCTGAGTCTTTACGTGCAGACTAGCCAATTTACAGAACATCAAATCTTGCACACTGCTAAACATGCAAGCTAGAAAATTATGCAGAATACCAGTTCTTGTTGATGCCATTTATGCCAACAGGAAAATTCAATACCACCCCCCCCCCCCCACCATCTAATTTGACATATGGAAGTGCGTTTCTTTGACGAGGTGTGTTAGGTTACCTATTAATGATGATGCTGCTACTCACAACAGCTTTCCAAGGTCATGTAAACTTATGTATTCTATCCGTCCTGTCATGAATGTTGCCTGCTTGTCTCTAAAATCTATATTAATATTGTACCTGATTTAATGTAAGTATATGTTGCTATGAGGGGAAAACCCTTAGATTTCTTGAATGTTACTTCAGGCTGCCTTAGTGGGGCCAGAACAAATGATTTTGTAGGTCTTATTCTCATAAGCCTGTGGGCTGTACAATCTCCACCCCTACCCTACTCTTAAACCGGTTACAAAAAAATCACAGCTCTCTAGTCCTTCACTGTACAACGACATCCTGAGACATGACAGAAAAGTCAACAGTACATTAAATCACTTACTATAAGTTTTGACAGTTTTACATGACCGCACAGGATAGTCAGTGTCAAATATCCGGATGGCTTTATTGTATCCAGCATAGATTTTCTGCCCATCCAGAGAAAATGACAGACTGTATGCAGCCGTGATCTCATCCTGGGGAAAAAATATAACTAAACATAATGTCTTTAAGACCCCTTCCACAGTGGACCATGTGGCATATGATACTTCTTCTTCTTCTGCGTTCATCCGAAGATGTAATTGTGTTGTGTCCGTTTACAGCATGGCTGCGATATTTGCACCTTTTGGCCAACACATCCGACTTTTGCGGGCATTTATTGACCGGGTTAGCCTTCCCGGTGCATATGATACTAGACCCATATTTTCATAGCCTAATTAGCTTCCACAATTTCCTCTTTGTCTTTCCATTTCAATACAAAGTTTGTACAACTTGTGGACCTCTAGCTTTTCCTTCCTTCAAGAGTGACAGCTTTCCTAATTTTCTCTTCAATTGTTTATTTCACTGTTTATGAACAGACACACACACACACACAAAGTTTTCCCAGTAGAAGCTTGTTGGACAGCTTGTCTGTCACTATTATTCTATGTCGAAATGTAAAGTCAACAAAATGTTTCCCGATCTTGTGAACTTCGCATAAACACACAAACAGAGCCTTAGTTTAGCAGACTCATGAAGGTATAATGCACTTATAAAGGTGCAGACATCAGGCTCCCTCAACCTGAGAAGAATCAGTTCAGCTCAATTGATGAAGTACATTCCAGAATAGAAAAGGAAGTGCTAGTGTTTTTTTCTGCAAACCACTGTAAGTTGTAATTCTCCACAAACATTTCTTCCACAACTTCCTATACCCCGAGAATCTTTGCACTCGTATCTCATCTAAAGCCAAATGGACTCCTTTTGCCCACGTCTCTGTTACCATCATCATCCTGTGCCTTACGACTAACGTAGGCGATCACGTCCCTGACCAGCCCAGTGAATTTAGCACACACAAAAGTGACTATGATGATATCATGAATATGCTGTTTTTAATTTTATAATAATGATGATGAAAATGTTGTCATTGGAGATGGTGACAGTGCTTCTGAACACACTGATGGCACTTTGATGCTAAAGTTTACACAGATGGGTCAGTAATTTGGAGCAAGCAAAGTGCATAGGCATTCACAGTAAGCTCAAGGGGGAAAACCATCAAGGAGATGAATGGCGTCTTTGCTGTTACAACTAGTAGCCTTACAATGGAAACTATGGCTGTAACAAGGGCTTTAGCATGGCTTGGTACTCAAAAGTTCACACACTTACACATTCTTAGTGACTCGATCATTATGCTTAAAAAAATCAAAGCTGGATTTATCAGGCTGGATTGAAACTCTAAGCACTTCACTAATATCTGCCCTAACCTTCATCTTAGTGCCAGGTAAGGCAGGTGTTCGAAGGAACGAGCGTGCAGACTAACTTGCTGACACTACAGATGCTATGGCTGGCCCAGTACTGGACAGAAGTGATGTTATCAATGCCATGCGCTGCACTTATTGTACCAAGGAGCACGCCAAAGGACTTGACTATGTATGGCGGTGCAGCCTGGAGCTGCAAGAAATAAATATTTCACTAAGTGGACAAGACGTTTCATTAACCATCACAGAACAGGCAACATCAGTCGTTTCACATTTGTGGAGCTTATGAGGAGGAGATCGGAGCACATATGGATCTGTCCGGAGTGCTGTGATGATAATCCTTTCTAATCACTAATCACACTGATGGCAATATTGTGGAGCTCTTAGCACCTAAGGACCATTCCTGAGTGCTGTGAAGATAATCCTCACCTATCACTAAAAATAAAATGTACTAAAAAGAATACTTCATGAGTCTATATGGTCAAAACATGCCACATACAAACTGATCATATGCTCGGTAGTTGGCCACAATCTGCCCTGTTGTTGTGTCCCACAAATGGATTGGGATTCCTGAACACGTACATGCAACTCTGAAATGGAGAGAAAAAAATGTTCTGATACCAATGCTACTTGTGTAACCACATCCAGATTCAGCCGAGAGAAGAGGGTCTGAATAACACACAATGCACAGGAGAACAGACAGGCAGTCTTAATGACTAGACCACTGGTTTAGTTCAGCATGTGAAATTCTTGTTGGCCACTGAGGAAATATTGAATTTTATCAATTCCTTTTACAGCATGCTAGCTAAGGGACAGTGGGCTTATTCTTTCACAGCTCCAGGACCAACAACAATTAAAAAAAAAAATTTTTTAAACAATAGCATGCGACTTAATTCATTTTCAATTTACAGTTAACAGTTTCTGGTTATATCAGAGGTCTAGAAAGTAACTGTCATTACTGAATAATCATAATATGAACAGTGATATAAGATCTCCAGCATGTACCTATGTCTAGCTCAAGAGTTTCTTCAGTCTACAATGTTTGGAAAACAGCTGTAACAACCACCTGCCTCAGTTTCTTTTCTGTCAAAAGATATCTCTAGTACCAATTATATCAGCCAGGACTGAATGTAGTCAAAAGAAAATACTAGGGCTGTACCGAATATTTGCTTCGGGGCCGAATAGTGGACCTAATAACTATTCAGTATTCGGCCGAATACTTGCGGTCGGGCCGAATACGAATAGTGGTTACCTTACACCCGTTTCTGCATACACTGTGATTGACTGAAATAACTCTCTCATTAACACAATATATGCTGTTGCCTAAGTCTGTCGTAGCGGGGGAAACTGCGACCCTGTTGTGTGGTACAGCAGCTGACGTCTTTGCCTGCTGACTCGACCGAGGCATTATTGCAGAGGTTCTCAAACTGGGTGCATATGCCAGGGGTGACGCAGCGAAAATCAAGAAAAGTCCGCTATAAATTGTGACATTATTAAAGAAGGCATGAAGATACTTAAAAGTTAAAATTTAAATTGTCTTTCCTCGCCATGTCAAAATGAGTTTTTTCCCTTGTTTCACACTCAAAGTATATCATACTGCATAAAATGCCAACCGCAGCGTGCTAAAAATTGTCTTTGTATTTATCTCGAGGTGCGACCAATCCTCCATCTGTATTCGTAAAGGTGCAGCGGATAAGTAAGGTTGTGATTACATATTGGCTGAAATCTTAAAGTGGAAAATGTGGTCTGTACAATAGTAACTGTTAGCCTCATCAAGTAAGCACTCATATTTAAAGACAATGCGTTGCAAGTCCTGGACAATCAGTAGGCAGGCCAAACAATTTCTTGAGGCCTCAGAGATGTGGTTTTACAGAAAAATGCTTAAAATACCTTGGATAGCCAACACACACAAAAAGCAACCAAGAAGTTTTGAAAGAGACGGGAGCCCGAAGACAACTAATCACAGATATCAGAAGGAGACAGTCATCATTTTTCGGCCATGTTATGGGAAGAGGGTGAATGGAACATGTGGTGACCACAGGAAAGATCTGTGAAAGGAGGGATAGAGGAAGATAATGAGAGAAGATTCTCGACAGTCTTGTTGCATGGCATGGAGGTGTGTCAGCACATAAACTAATACATGCTGCATGATTGTAGCGAGGCATAATCGCCCACGATAGTGGGCAAGACACTGATGATGATACACTATTCGTATTCGTGTTCAGCTGAATAGTTGGTCCCGCTATGTGTATTCGGTCGAATAGTGAAAATCACTATTCGGTACAGCCCTAGAAAATACCCACTCAACTTGGTTGCAGCCATGGACTATGATAATTATAGAAAACAGGCTAAAGAATTAGAAAGTATGTAATGAATTAAATTATACTGGCTAACACATGCAGAGTAGAGAAGAAATCAATAGATGATACTCCTGTCGCCAAGAAACACTTTGGAGAAAAAATCGAATTGCCCTTGTAATTCTGAAAAATGTTTTTAAAATACCAACAACTAATAAAGGTTAACAAAATGTACTAAATTATATTTTTTTTCACATTTGTATCTGAAAAATCTGAAGGGGAAAAATTAATACTAAATATGAATGCAGTGAAGTTTTAAATGGGTTTCATTCCTTGAGCCTTAACTAAATGTATACCTTGGCTCAAACCTGATCACATGACCTCAGCACTATACAACTATGCCAAGGTAAATTATGTCATAATGCATAACAGACTATTGAAACAACTTTTTTTTTCTTTAAAAGGACTTACCCCCACCCTATTTTTAGTAAATATAATCATGCCTGGTGCCTATTGAACAAAACAGAATCACTGCTGTTAATGAGCCTTCTCATGGACAAGTCATTGCAGCTGTGCCAGTTAAGCAGCGTTTACAGGGACTGGTGAAGATGGATGTTCAAGGTTTGCCACTTCTCAGGTTATTGACCATTTCACAATCATTAAAGAAGGAAAATTTAAAGTTCTGAATGGTAATATGATGTACCAAGATGAATAGTAATACTGTCAGTTTCCAGGCTCTGAAAACTGCAAGACTAACACATAAACAACATCAAATACTTTCGCCACATAAGACACCACAATGGTTTAGTAAAAACAGTTGCGATGGAAGACATGGTTCCTGGAATAAGAGGTAGCAGTTGATCAGCTTTAATGATAATCCTTACCAATCACACAAAAACATCTACTGTCTAAACCGTGTTAACACTCTTGGCAGACAACTTACCTGCAATGATCCTGCTGTGCTAGATTTATCTTTGGATGCCAGGCATAATCATACACAATACTACACTCTTTCATCTTCACGTTTGCCGTCTGTGCACATTTATTGGAAGACAATGTAGAATAAATTATTCACTTTTGCAAAATTAATATCTCTTCTTGTTCCTTGTACTCAATGGTGGAAAGTTCCTGGCTGTTCGTCTATTTGGACTTTGGCTTTGTGCCAGGGACAGAGTTTTGCGTGTACATTCGTTTTACTGGCTTACCTGTGTGCATAAGGTTTTTCCTTGCCGCTCGGGCAGATGCACTGACTTTAAAGGAGCCCCCAATTAGTTGACTCCTCTGACATGCTTATTTGGGAAACAGTGGGTCTATTCTTGTTTTCTCAATGAGGCCACGGAACTCACACAGGGAAATTTAATATATAATATGTTTTATGAGCTAAAGTGGCCAGTTCCTTTTTGTGCATGTATGTGAGGGGAGAGAAGAGAAAAAGAGAGAGAGAGAGAAGTAAGGATGTCAAAGATAAATTGTGTGGTGAATATTTAGAAGGAAAGTAAAGTGCTAGACTAAATAGTCGCAAATCCATCTTCTTTTATCCCCAAGTGGAGCATAGGCCCTCATTAAGCTCATGTCGAGTCATCCTATCCTTTGTTATCGCATGCAGATTACCCAATGTCTTTCCTTCACCTGCTGATTCACTGATAGTGGTTGTTTAATTTTCTCCTAAAGCTCTTTACTGAAAATTTGTTTAGCAATTCTACAGATGTGTTTATATTGGCTTTAACAACTTCTGCTAGGAAATCATGTGGACCTGCAGCTTTCCCTTCCTTCGAGAGTGACAGCTTTCCTAATTTTCTCTTTAGTTGTTTATTTCTCTATTTATGTAAGTTCCATGGACCATGCTTTCAAAAGTGTGGCCCAGCTCCTAAGCTGAGTGTTTGGTGTGACACTGTGAGCTGTATATTTCACGTGAAATGTTTTTTCCCATTGTGCCGGCAACGTCATTATGTTGTGGCCTTAACTAAAACTAGCGGGTGGCTGACTGCCTTAAGAATGGCGTGTACTTTTGCCGGCTTTCATAACTGACTATGCACATCAATAGTAAGATGCAATTCTAGTGTGGGATGGCTTGTACTGGCACATCTGACAGCCGCCTTATGCATTTACTTTGCGTGTGCAAGCTTCAAAATTTTGCTGAGCCTGACATGTTTTCCACTAGTTTTCAACTAAGACAGTGAGGAATATTGTGTGTGATTTCCACTGACACAGGAAATTTGCAACCCATCTGCAGTCAATTTGTGACCTTGACTAATGACCAGTCCAATTCCATTTTTAAAGGCTAGATATCTGAAGGGACCTTAAGGGCTGGTCTTCTAAGAAGTTCTTCAAAATCTTTCATTTGTCTGAATGACCATCCCATAAAGACAACATTCCATCAAAGAAAATGTGAAGCCTACAACCTGATAAAAAAGCATGTCATAAGAATGTCTTTACTATTGTCTTTCAATCATTATTATACTTTCCTATTTTTATTCATTGTAACTTCTTTCTAACCTTATTTGCCTTTCTTTCCTTGTCATAAACATTTACATTTAACTAATGGATTCATACTTACCATTTGTGTATTGTCTGAGAACCTGCTTGTACCAGTCTTACTGCAGGGATCAAATATTCGCAGGCAGTTGTCATTACTGTTAGTTAGCACACAGCTACCATCCGGTGACCTGATGATAATATGCCATAATTTACAAGATGACTATATAACATCATTTACACTGTGAAAAACAGAATATCATTTACAAAATGACAATATAACATCATTTATATACTGTGAACACAGAATATAATTTTTTTACAATGACAATATAACACCATTAACACAATTAAAATCAAATGTAATTTACACAATAACAATATCATTTGAACTAAATGACAATATAACATCCTTTCCACAATTACAAAAGAAAGTATCTACCTAAGACATGCACTATTTACAATCAGAGTATAAAAGAAAGAAGAAACAAGAGCAGCCTGTGAAAAAATCTTGTACCATTTACAACCACGGAGGAAGTTCTCTTCTTCCTGCAGGAACTCCCCACTTGTGCTGGCTGCTAGCCTAGGAATGCTGCCCACTGTCAGATTATACCTGCAGAAGAAAGATAATGCACATCTATCAACAGTAGGCTACTAAATTGAGCAGAATAAGGATGACCATAATAACTTTAGCTGAAAACAGGACATGTCACTAATATTTTAGTTTAAAACAGGACATCAAAAGCAAGTCAGTTTTAACCTACACTAAACCAACTAAAATGTTATGGAGTTTATTATTATTAAAAGTATCTAAAGGCTATTTTGTTTAGAAAAAAAGTGCAGGTAGTCACCACCAACTGTCTTTAAAAAGGTGCCGGTCTTATTCTTCTACCTTCTAACTCATAATGGATTACAGACCCTCAACCAACTCAGGCCACTTCCATCCTTCGCTACCACATGTAGATCTCCCCACCTTTTTAACTTTACTCTCTAGCTCCCTTTTCCATTTTTTTTGGGTCTTTCTTTATTTGTATGCCCCTGTAGGTTGCAGTGCAAAGACATTCTAGTTATATTGTTCTCAGGTTTTCTAAATCTGTGTCCTATCCAACATCAGCGTCTTTCCTTTACCTCTTGGTCCACTGGAACTTGTTTATTTCTCTTCCAAAGCTCTCCATTAGTGATTCAATCATGCCATTTAATTTCCTTCATTCTGCACAGACACCAGTTAATGAATGTTTGTAGTTGACTGGTAAGTTCCTTAGACGTTCTGCATTTTTCTGCTCCCTACAACAGTATTGATTTGACATTGGAATTAAAAATGTTCAGTATTAGTTTTAATTTCCTATGACCTACACAATAAAGGCTCTTCTTGCCTTTTGTATTTGTATTTTAATACCTCTATCAGTTCCTCCCATCTTTATTAACATAGGTGTACAAATCCATGTCTTGGAGTGCTATACCATTTAGTGAAAGCACATGACTATTTGCCTTATTTATTCTCATTATCTCTGTCTTTCCCATATAAAGTGCCGGTACTCAACATAAAGTATTTATTACACTAGGACTTAAAAAAAATTATGATTAATAAAAGATGCCGGCACTGTATATCATTCCCTACCGCTGGAAAAAAGCCCTAGATATAAGTGTTTGTTCTATTCTGAAGCCTACTCCAAGAATTTTATAAACCGGGACAACTAGCAGTCCAGTTTTTGGGTAGTGCTGACGGGTCGGCTGTGGTACACCTAAAAAGTGAGTCTTGTCTCAGTGAAAATGGAATGTATAGTAACTATATGTATAGTATAAGAACAAGTAAAGGATTCTTGTTAATGCCATGAGGAATTCTGAATAAATCCAGATCAACAGGCACTTGTTGTGCCTTTACAACTTTATGGACATAACTGATCAGAGCTGCAAATGGCCAGACAGACATGTGGGTTTCTCTCATCTTCTTCCTCAAGTCCATGTTGTGTGGTGTTGGTAGTCATGTCTGTCCACAGCCTTCTGTCCTGTGTAGTTTAAATCAATTCTGACTGAGATGATTCTCCATGCCATGATGTCAAACTGCCCAGGATCCTTTCTCTCAGTCTCCACCTGACTGTCCTCCCCTCCAACTTTCCTACTGTCACGATGTACTCCAGTTTTCTCCTCATCACATGACCAAAGAATGTAGATTGTTGCTGATTCTGATGTGGGCAATTTGTTCTCTTTGTGAGTTAGTTTTTTTTCAAGACATCTTCATTAATTTTTTTACCTGTCCAAGTAATTTTCTTATAATTCGCTTATAAAACCACATCTCCGCAGCTTCAAAATAATTTTTCACTAGTCTACAAACTGTCCATAATTCACATCCGTATATCAAGACAGGATTTGTATATATTATATACAGATAGGAGATATTTCAGCTAAGTGATGATGTGTATTCTTGTTTGTAAATGTCACAATGTCTATTCATGTCATGTGCTGATGAAGGCTTCATAGTCGCAACATTTACTTTCCATTTCTGATTGTGGTGATGTTAAGCTGACTAGTTCTACTTTTTATGTGGTTTGATATCTTTTCATGATACATTTAGGATGGTGTGGGATAGACTATTCATGAGACCTGGGGACTTGAGACTGCAAGACTGGGGCAGTCACCACAAACTGTGCAGATTATGATTGCTTCTAGCAGGCTGGGTGAAACTAATACAGAAACAACCACAACTAATAATCATGAAACAAAACAAAACAAAAAACAGTAATGTGGAACAAATACCAAAAAAAAATTATTATGGGAAATGTGCAACTAATAATTATGGAGCAACTACAACCAATAATAATGAAAAAAATAGCAAATTATACTTAGGGATCAATTACAACTATGAGTCATGAAATAATTGCAACTAATATTTCCTAGAACAACTGCAATAATAATCATGGAATAATAATAACTGCAACTAATAATCACGGAATAATAACTACAACTAATAATCACAGAACAACTGCAACTATTAGTCATGGAATAATTGCAACCGATAATTATAGAACTACAGCTAACAATCACAGAACAACTGCAATGAATAGCTAAACACAACTGAGATATGGAGTTACATGTAAACAAAAGTAGACAGTGAAAATAAATGTGGCACAGTTACAATGAGAACAAAGAGGAAGGAAGGATACCTGGAGTCATCGGCAGACGACACATCTGATTTGTGAAGATCATGCTCAGGCTCCCCGATGATCGTATCAGAATCACCACTGGCATCGTCACAGACACTCTGAGACTGTAGCTGATGACCAGTGGGCACAACAGGCCCAATAAATGCAACACAGTTTAAAGTTTGACTGAAATCAAAATTAGGTATGTATCAAGTGCTGACGAGTCTATAATATAGGCCTAGCACCATATTTCCAAAGCACTTATGGCATGAAGAGGGTCCTTCATCTTCCTGTAAGTATCACTAGGGATTTTAGTCAAAATTTTTATTTTAGGTTTTTTACTTTTAAACCAAGACAGCTGAATAGAGGTTGAAAAACTGAGTCCAACGGTACCTCAATGAAGTCTGTATGTCAATTCTAAGCGGAGATATTCCCATTTCAGTGACGGAAAGTGCCCTCAAAAAATTATTATGGAAAACACAGAAACAAGATGGCGGCATGTTCCCAAGTGAAAACTGGACCTAAATTTATCATGTTTAATGTCAATAACTCTCAAGTTTTTTGCTGAACCCCTTAGCAACCATATGTCATTGCTTTCAGGACAGCAAGCTCTAACTAAAGTTGTTGCCTTTTTAAAAATATGATGTGATGCAAACCTAAATAACATAAAAATGAGTAAATTTATCAGTATTCATTAAATACCTTATGAATTAATTATTATTAATTATCCAGTGAGTCTTGCAAGACGTATACTGTAATATATATATATATACTTTTATATCTATTCTTCCTGTTATGATGCATCTTTTTCTATTTGTTGAAAAATGCTTTTTCTCGCACTCTCATTTGTGTATGTGTGTATGTTTGTGTGTGTGCATACATCTGACCGAAATTTGCTTTATTCCACTGTTTAAAAAAATATTTAATAGCGAGTGGATTGACTTCATTGCATCGTTACTGATTTTATATGGCTTTGTCTTTCTCCACAATACTGAAAAAATAACGCATGCCGAGAGCTTAGCACAAAGCCTGGATACCGTAGCTCCAGCAACAGCCCTCAGAGGTCTCCGCTAACCAAAAAAATGCATTTTATAGTCGAACAATGCAGTTGTAAATGAACGTACAACAATCTTCCGAGCGCGAGGTTAACGGCTTGACCACTTTGATACGGAGACCCCTATATTCCTATATTGTTTTATAACCAAGTGAAAATGAGCGCCCCTCTTACTGATTTAACATAATCCCTTTTTCAATCTTTGCGAGTTATTCTTTCATTTTATTGATGATGAGACATTTCACCACATTGTTCCCCTCTTCTTCTTAACTAGTCACTGCTTGATATTTTATTTACTTGTTCAAAATAATCGAAGGTAACCGCTCATGCCCGATTTGTGACTCAGTGCTATGTTTTTTCATGGAGTAAAATTATTAAATAAGCTCCTTTGTAATTCGCTTTGGATTTATGTTGTGTTTTCATGGAGATGTAATTCGCTTCGGATTTATGTTGTGTTTTCATGGAGCAGCATTTCATAAGGTAAGAGGAAAAATTACATTATATTTTATTAACTTATCTATGTCCTACGTGATCTGTGATTAAATATTATTAATCATAAGTTGTAAGTAAGTGAATTTATTCAGTTGAAAATAATATAATATATTATTATAAATTTTATTAATCAACTTTCTAAATCATCATCTATAAGTCAATACTTCAATTTTAAAACAGTATCAGTCGTAAATAATAACTGTTATTTATACTATTTAAGACAATAAATATGCACCACAAAATCATAGTGCAGAAATGTGTGGCAGACATTTTTTTTTAAATGTCAGTCTGGGTGCAGGGAGTGGGGGTCAACAGGTAAAAAGGCTTCAAACAGGAAATGTTATTCATGCCTAATGATAAGTTATGGCTTAAAAAATGCTATAATGGCTAAAGATTCAAAAAATGATTAAATAACTACTATATATTCATTTAAAAGTATATTATAAAATGTTTAAATCACTGTCTGCGTCCAAAATGTCAGTCTGGGTGCGGGGAGTGGGGGTCAACAGGTAAAAAGGCTTCAAACAAAAAATGTTGTTCATGCCCAATGATAGGTTATGGCTTAAAAAATGCTATAATGGCTAAAGATTCAAAAAATGATTAAATAACTACTATATATTCATTTGAAACTATTATTATAAAATATTTAAACCACTGTCTGTGTCTATTTTTAACACAAAATACCCTAGAAATAGTCAATGTTAAAAACGTGCTAAAACATTATTTTCAGGTATTTAAAATGATTAAAACTCATGTGAAATTAAAGAAAGGTAAATTATTAATACAAATAAAACTTGCATTATTTTTGAACTGTTTTTATAAATAACTAGATTAATTAATCTGAGATAAACAGTTGTTTAGGCCATGCGGTAGCCATTTTGAAAAATCGCCGATTCAGCTTTAAAGAAGTAACCGGGAAGAAATTGA